TCACTACAACAACGGCGGCCCCGGAAGACCCCGAGCTCCAGGCATGGTCAGCCAAGCGCCGAGACCAGGCCGATGCCAGAGAGAGCGGGCCTCTGCGGGCGAGCAGGCGGGATGTCTTGGGGTCTGGTGCGACCGCATAGCGACGCCAGTGTTTACTAACATTCGCGTTCCTCCAGGCTTGATGTCACGAGGGGGGTTAGTCACCGCGACAGGAATGAGCCGGGTGAGAGGGAGTTAGGAGTCTGATATCGAGGCAATCGGGGTTCGATTACGTGTTAAAGGGACAGCGCCCGCAAACTTCAAGCTGGTCCTTAGGGAGTGTTAGAATGGGGGGGGGGGCTTGGCTCTGGAGAGGGACATCTCGCTAGTGGTTAACAGAAAGGATCAAAATGCCTGCAAGGCAGATTTGGACTGGTTTCGTCAATATTTTCCACACTATGCTCTGGGAGATTTGAAGGCAGATGCTGGATACACTCAATGAAAGAGTGAATGAATGACTGCTGTGCATTCACTTACTGCTTTTCTGCCCCATGTTTGTCTTCTCATCGTCTCTTTGCGCGTGCCGCAAGCAGTAAAGTGACCCAACAGCATCTTTGAAGTCTTTAAGAAGACCTAGACCCGTGATTTTTGTTGTTGTTGTATTAGACCACTGCCCCGCAGCAGGCTTTCTCGCACGTGGTGTCACTTTGCTTCGGCAAAACCACGAAGGCGGAAGAATGGCAAGATGCTGTCAGGGTTTCCAAATCACAAGCCTCCCGGGGGTCCCGATCTTAAGCTCGCAGGGGAGACGGGGAGATGTCCCCCGGTTCCCGGTCCTCTAGTTGACCCGCCTCCGTGCAGGAAGGTCTGAGCTGAAAACGACGTGCAAAATAGAGATTCGGCAGCATGAGATGGCATGTGGAGCGCGGCAGGCGACACACGCGTTCTGCGCGCAGGACAGACGCGCCACACCCCGTAATTACAGATTCCCGAGTTGTCAGGGGCCGAGTTTAGTTTCAGTGAATACCACAGCTAGCAACGAAACAGGTGGGCTTTAGATTGCAGTATTCATTCATCTAAGAGTGTGTTGCGTGTGATGTCTAACATTGGGCACAGCAGGTTCACCGAAAAAAGGAAGAAAAGGTTGGGGGTTAGAAACTAGCTCAAAGAAAAGAGAGATTGTAAGTATGGATTTTTCTCTAGGTCTTTTAGTGAACGTTATTATTATTTTTGCTTTTCTCCTAATTATTAAAACAAAAAAAAAACACATTTGTTTTTTAAGTGAATACATGGTGGGGGGGATTACCTAAAGATGATCATCTAAAGTTGATCCCTTCCCTCCTTCCCTCCTTTCTTCCCTTCCTCCCCTTCCTTCCCTCTCTCCCTCCCTTCCTTCCTTCCTTATTTCTCTCTGTCTCTCTCCCTCAGGTCCTCAGGGTCTTGCCTTGTCACCCAGGCTGGAGTGCAGTGGTGTGATCGTTTCTCTCTGCAGCTTTGAATTCCTGGGCTCAAATGATCCTCCCACCCCAGCCTGCTGAGTTTCTAGCACTACAGGCATGTGCCACCATACGGTGCTAATTTTTTGTTTTTGCAAAGACGTGATCTTGCTGTGTTGTCCAGGTTGGTCTTGAACTCCTGGCTTCAAGTGATCCTCTGGCCTTGGCTTCTCAAAGTGCTGGGATTACAAACATGAGCCATTGTGCCCGGCGAAAAGTCGAGTTTTAAAAATGTGTCGTCTACCTATGATGTCCTCACTGCATGCTAGGTACTCTTCTAAGTAGTTCATAAATTTTGACATTTAGCCCCCACAGCAATCTTATTAGACAATGCCATTATTACTGTTTCCACTTAATGCAGAGGTTCAAGTGACTTGCCCAGGCACACAGCTGGGAGGCAACAGAGCTGAGGTTTTTAGACACCCACAGTCTGTCCCCAGATTTCACTTTCCTTTTATTTATTTATTTATTGTTTAGAGTCTCCCTCTGTGGCCCAGGCTGGAATGCAGTGGCATGCTCACAGCCACCTCAGCCTCTACCTGCAGGGCTCAGGCGATCAATCCACTTCAGCCTTCCAAGCAGCTGGAACTACAGGCATGCACCACCACACCCGGCTAATTTTTTGATTTATTGTATAGACGAGGTCTTGCTAAATTTCCCAGGCTGGTAGCGAACCCGTGGGCTCCGGCAATCCTCTCTCCTCCGCCTCCCAAAGTGCTGGGATGACAGGAGTGAACCACAGCCCTCTGTTGACCTCTCTCTCCTAATCACAAGGCCACTGTGCCTTTTGCATGATTGCGAGTGTATTGCCAATGTGTCCACTTTTGTATCCTAGCCAAAGTTTTAATAATGCATTTCACAAAATAAAAAAGAATGATCTCTCTTCCACTCCACTGTCCTCACTTGTTTCTCTGTCCTCACCCCTTCCATAGTGCTCCATATTCGACTTTATTTTTTTCTGCTTCCTCACCTTTGCAAATAGGACAGCTCAGAGGGAGACGTTTGGAAGCGTAGAAAAAACAGGGCGTTTCGAAACCGCGAGCCGGTTCAGATCCACGCGATGCCACCAGCCACAGCGGGGCCTCCTCAAGTGACAAACTTGCCATTCACAGGAATGGGAGCCGCGCGCATGGTCAACACGCGCACTCCTGCAGGGGATGGTTAGGGGCCAGGCACTGGGGAGGGAAATCGACCTTTAACGAGTCCCTCTTTTCCAGGTACCCCCTCAAACCAGAAATGGAACGTATCTCCCTGAGCCCGGTACAGGATGGTTTTTATTTTAGCACTGGCCGCCGTCTGACCGTCAACTTGGAAATTCAGATACAGCAGGACAGCGCCATCTGCCGTTCACACTGCGTAGGGCACTGGGAGTGAGCAGGCTTCGCAGGCCCTGCGGGGAGCGGGACTCACTCCTTGAGGACAATGGCCCCAAAGTGCAGGAGGGCGCTTGGAAAAGAAGAGGGCCCGATAGATTTGAACCGTTAAAGCGGTGGCTTTCTTTCCAAAGACTGTGAGAGGTTTATTTCAATCAGCATTCAGTCTTCAAATCCTACCTCCCACTGGAGTAGTGGTAGTTGAAATATAAAGAAAGGGATAGACGTGTGCAAGAATGGCATCGTTCAAATGGGGGGGTGGTGGTGGTGGTGGGCAGAAACACGGAGGTGCTGTCCTTGGTCCTGAATCAACACTCCCTGCTGGCAAATGGCTGTCTTACCCACCCTGAGAAACCTCAACTCCTTATCAAGGGCATATAGTATAGCTGAATTTTTAATATCTTACCAAAGATAAATTCTAACCTTTGTTTGAGACAGGGTCTTATTATGTCTTACTCTGTCTCCCAGACTTTGAGACAGGGTCTCACTCTGTCTCAGTTTGTCCCCCAGACTGGAGTGCAGTGGCACAATCATAGCTATGCTTGTACTAGTGCACTTCAGCAGCCAAGGCGACAGAGAGAGACCTTGTCTCTAAAAACAAAACAAAACAAAACACACACACACAGCGAAGTGCTACTTTACACCCAGTTGGATAGCTACAAATCAGCAATTTGGGTGGATTTAGAGTTGATCATACTCAGAGATCTATCACAGAAACAAAGAACTAAGTACCACATGTTCTCACTCATAAGTGGACCCTGTACATTTGTCATAATACTACATGAAAGAAGCCGGGCTCGGTGACTCAGCCTGTAATCCCAGCACTTTGGGAGGCTGAGGTG